GGGGGGGGGGGGGACATCACAGAGGGGCATCAGCAATCCCACATGCGGCGGGGGACGAGGGCAAGTGACGAAGAACGAGCGCCGCGACCGGCGCCCATGGCCCTCCCCCTGCTGTGTCCTGCCCGGCCGAGACAAGGCACGCGGAAATGGCCGGAGGCGAGGTGGCGATGGCACGGGAAAGGACCCGGCCCCGGCATTGACGCACCTCGTTCATGTCATTCCAGACAAAGAGCCACGGTGTCGAGGCGCCGTAAACCCCGTCCTCGGTCGGGCCACCGCGGTCCAGCCTCAGGCGGCTAGACCACCACCGGCGGACCTCCGGCCGGAGGACATCCGGCCAGGAGGACCGCCCAGGCCAACACTGGCCGTGGAAATCCCGGAAGCCAACCGGCACCCCGCCGGACCGGTGGTCCAGCTGCCGGAGGACCATGTCCGCCAGGGCGTAGAGCCCGCGCGCCAAAAGTCGAACATTGTCCTCGCCCAAGTCGCAGATGGCCTCCTCGGCGTGTTGCAGGCGCCGGCGCAGGCGCCGATTGGCGCGCGCCTCCGCCGAGGGTGGCGGAGTGTCATCCACCAGCGGGCCGCCATTGGGCAATGATGGGACCTCCGGTTCCGGCGCCGGCGGGCTCGGTGCCGGGGGGGCCGGCTCCCGCACCAAGAACCCCAAGCGCCGAGAGGCCTCATAGATGCCGCACTCGCCGTCCACCCAGCCGGAGTTCGGCGCTTGATGGTCATTCCCCGGGGCCAGGGGCGGTGTGGGGGGGCCGATGTTCAGGCCGCCGCCGTCGCCGGTCGAGGGGGCAGACCCCTCGATCGTGCCGGTAGACGACCTCTCCTCCGGGCCGGTGCCATTGTGCGCCAGTAGGACATCCAACCGGTCGAGAACCAGCCGATGCAGGCGGTCCGCATCGCCCTGGCAGCGGTCCAGCACCCGGGTGTACTGGCTCCAGCCAGCATCCAGACGCAGTGACCGCAAGAGATCCCCGACATCCAATTCATCAAAGGGCCCGGGGGCCGAAGGACGCTCGGCGGTCACGCCACCCGATGAAGCAGGCTCCATTAGGGCCCCCTGAGCACGAGCGGTCAAAACCTGGCGCAGCAGCTCCGAGCGGGTCTCATCCGACTGCTCGGTGCGCGGCTCTCCGAAGCCGTAATACTTGGGGGGAAGTTCGCCAGCACGCAGGTGCGGATCGATGATGGTCACCAGACGACGACCGGCCCCGGCCCCGGGCACGACCACCGCGGTGGATTGCTCGCCGGCGGAGCCCGTGGGCAGATCCGCACTCAGGTCGGAGGAGGAGTCCGCTTCGGAGGAGAGGTCCGAATCGGAGGCGGAGCTGGAGTCGGAAGAGGCGTCAGCATCGGAGGAGGCATCCGAGGGAGGGACATCCTCGCGAATGGTCCGTGCACCACCGGCAAAGGCGAAAGACTGCTGCATGGCCACCGGGTCGGGGAAGCGGCCGCGATCCCACGAGAGGTAGCATTTGCGATCGGTATGTTCGATGTCCAGCCAGAGCACATCATTCGGCAGGGCATGGGCATCGAACACTGGGCAGTGGGACCCGGCCAAGGGCAGGGGGGAGGGGGGGGGGATGTGAGTGACGAGGCCAGCCACCAGGAGCCAAATGGAGCAGGCAGATGAGAAGACGTACTGGCATCGACACGCTGCAAATCCGTCTGGTCGTTGTAGTTCCAGCGCGACTGGTGCTGTCCCAGCCCCCAGATGGGCGGAAGCTGTGGCCGGCCTGCGGCATGCGACAAGGAGAGGAGTGTGTCAGCATGATGTCCAAGGGGAGGAAGGTGCGTGCGTGCGTGCGTGTGTGTGTGTGTGTGTGTGTGTGTGTGTGTGTGTGTGTGTGCGAGGGAGAGGGGGGGGTGGCCGAAGAACGAGAGGCAATCCTCGCCAGCATATGTGCAGGGTCAAGGGCGCGCCCTTGGAGGGTGACGCACCGGTGACATGGGTGAATTGCCGCAGGACCGAGGCCGTGGCCGTGGGGGCGGAGTCGGCATCGTCAGTGGCCGCGGCCGGGGGATCGAACGAAGGGAACATCACCATGTCCAAGTGGCCGGCCTCGGCGAACCAATGGCTGTCAACGCCGAGATCCTCCCACTGGTCGGCCTGGCCGCATGAGGGCAGAATCCCGCCAGGAACATGGGGCGCCGGTATGAGAGTCACGGGGGGCGTCGGCCTGGGGGAAGAGTCCGAAGGGTCCCTGACCGCGTCGTCCGGCATGTCCATGATGATGTCATCCAGGACCACGGAGACCGGGGGTGCCGGCAGTAGCGGGGTGACGGAGGTGCTGCCGCAGGGCTGGCGTCGGTCAAGCGGGGGAAATCGGCGAGAGGGGAGGGGGGAAAGGGGATGGGTCAGCCTTTTCAAGCAGGAAAGGCGGGGAGAAGGGGGAGGGGAGGGGGGGGGGGGCAATGTCGAGCGCGAAGGTCCGCACCACACGATGGGCCACATCGACCCACATCTCCGAGGCATTGAGCAGCAGGAGGCCCACCGACCGGCGGGGGCGCCGGGCGGCCGGCCGATTAGCCATATGCCCATGGGCGATCATCAGTGGCACCGATCCATAGAGGGCCATTGGGCTGTCGAGGACATACTGGAAGACGTCCAGGTTGTAGAGCCGGTAGGGGTCGCCAAGGCTGAGTGCGCAGGACACCCACGCCGGCCATGCGCCATGTTGGAGCACGGAAGAATGTCAGCACGGTGGCCTTCCTTCAGGCGGGGGAGGGAGGACGCCAAGCCGGCAGCGCCGGGAAATTCACGCACAATGTGTCCTGCAGGGCAAAGTCCGACGCATGCTCTGGGATGCCAAAGACGCCATAGAACCCGGGGAAAGTGACATCCACGGACACCGCCTGGGGACCTGTGTTGGGGGCGAGGCAGAGAAAGGGAGAGAGAGAGAGACAGGAGAGAGGCGAGGAGGGGTGATGATGTGAGCCACGAGGAGGAGCGCCCGTCCAGGCGAGGAGGAGGATGGGCGTCGTTCCGGCAAGCAGCAGCAGCCACGTACCTCGAGGCTTCGGATCATGGAACTCCAGGAAGTCCTCCTCCCAGGCGCCATCGTCGTCAAAGCGATCCGAGCGCGACCCGGCGGGCGGGGTCTTCGAAAGGCCAACATGTCAGCGGCCCCGGCGGCGGGCGTCGAGCCGGAGGCAAAGCCACTTCGCGGGTTCCCAGTGGGCGCCATGTGCTTGGTGCTTGGCACAGCCCTGGGAATGGTGTTGGTGGGGAACATTGCGTACCGTTGTCTTGTTGCGCGAAAGTTCGGCCCACAGGCGTTCCTGGGCATTGATCTCGAGCAGGCGATCCACCTCGAGCCACGGCCAGGAGGCCGGGTATTCCCGAGTGGCAGCCGGGGCAGGGTGGCCGGTCGACCAATCGGGCCGGCCGCCAGTTGCCGGGACCACAACCGAGAGGCGGGCACGCAGCGGCGTGTGGCTGATGATCAGGGCATAGTGAAGGGACTCGCTGTCGGAAGAGGGCCGGTGGTCAGCAAGGGAGGCGGCGCAGGCCTCGACCGAGGGGAACTCGCTGCATGCCGGGTCATCGGTCAGGCGAGCCAGACGCGCGGCCCCGGCCGGCCCTGCATACACCACCCAGCTTTCGCCCGGGACCGACCCGGCCTGGGGGAGATGTTCCACGCGCAGGCGCGCCCCGGCCGGGGTGTTGACAATGGTAAAGGGGGCCGGGCTGAAGCGCGGCACGGCCCCGGGCGAGGCATCCTCGAAGGTCAAGCGCACGGCGCCGGTCGGGCTGGCTGTCACACGGCCGAGTAGCGGCGCCGCCCGGGTGTCCCCGGTGGCCGCCACCCGGAAAGTGAGCAGCGTGTCCGGACCAAGTCCGCGAGTGGACTCGGTGGCCGCCGCCCCCGGGGGGAGGACATCGTGCGAGCGGCCCGGCGCGTCCCACACATGGAGCGCATCATCGTTGGCCGGGTTGCGCCGGAGAAAGTCGGCCGCCGGGTCGGCGTCAGGCTCGCTCGCGTTGGTGGCAGCCTGGACAAAGGCCTCTGCCAGGGTCCAGCTGCCGGGGACCACCGCATAAGCCGCCCCAGCGGCATAGGTCCAGCTGGCCCCGGTCGGCATGTCGGTCGAGCCGGACTCCGATGGCGTGGTGTTCGGGAAGGCGGGCGGTGGACGCGAGGCAAACCCCAAGCCAGCCTCGTCGACCAGAAACTCAGGCTGGTGGAGGGATTCCGAAAAGGGAACCTTGTGGGCGGTGGAATAGAGAGATCGCCGATGGTCGGCGCCGACGCGACGCATGCGCCGACAGAAGCCGGATTGCGAGCAATTCTTGAAAACCCGCTGTGGTGTGTGGGCGCGTTCATGTGCCGACCCATTCGGGGGGGAGGGAGGGGGGGGGGCGAGAGGGCGAGAGGAAGACAGGTCAGGCAGGGGGGAGGGGGAGGAGGTGGCAAGAGGCAGGCCGGCAGAGGGGGCACGCCACAGGGGGGACCACGAATGGGGATCATGGCAGTCGCAATCGGGAAACATACCCGGTCCACAGCGCCGGTGTGGTGGGGAGCCAGCAGGAGCACCAGAGCCAGCGAGGCGAGAAGAGCCGCGGTCAAGAGAGCCGGCATGGGCCGGGCGCCGCCGCGTAGCCCAAGCCTGGCACAGGTAACCATCCTGATGGCCACGTTTTGTGGGTGAGGGGGCGCGCGGGCGCCGCTGTGCGTTGCCTCAATCGCGTCCCTTCCTTAGGACAGGTGTGGTGCGGGGGCGGGGCTGGAGGCGCGTGTGGTTGGGTATGAGTGTGCGGAGGGGGAGGGAGGGCCTCAGCGTGGGGGGGGGGGGACAGATCGGGGTGGATGCCTGGCCGTCAGGCGGGACAAACCGGTGGCACCCTTTTGTCCGGGGCCCCGAGCGGGTGTCAGCCTGTTGGCGCTTGCTCTGTTGTGTCTTTCCGCAGCCGCCACCCGGGAGGAGGGGGTGCGCTGCAGAGGCGTCACACATCGACACCACCCCCAAGGGGGGGCGGGGGGCGGGATGAATGATCTGCACACAATTGCACCTCTCCCAGGCCAGTGCCTCAGACGGGTCTGATGATGATCCTTCATGCGTGGAGGCAGGGACTCCTCTCTGGACAGGGAGTCGTGCGTTTGGGGGCGGAAAAGAGAGAGCGCCCCAGGAAGACATGAACATGGCCTTCCGGCCTCGCCCTGCCCGGGCCAAGGAGGATAGGCAACAGGGACAACGCCTGAGCGCCGGCACGTCTTCCGGGCGTGTGAGCGTGCGGGAGGGGGCAATCTCGGTGCGGTGGCAGTTCCGTCCCGGCCGCGTGATAGTCCTCATCGCCGGCCGCCCGGGCGCTGGCAGCCCAGACGGCCGGAAAACAATAATCCACCCCCTCCATGGGGGAAACAGGGCGGGGGCCACCGCCGAAGAGTGAGGCGTGAACGTCCCCCCCCCCCTGACGGAGGCCTCCATCCCATTCTACGTGTGACGGATAATCGCGATCTCTTGTGTACGTGCGCATGTGCGTGCGTGCGTGCGTGTGTGTGCGTGTGCATTGGTGAGCATGTTTGTACCTGGGCCCGGGCATCTTTCCTGCTGGGATGCCTGGGCTCCCGGAGACAAGCGCTCCCCACGCCCCCTGGCAGGCGCCCTGGGACAGGACGGCCCGGGGGCTCTCTGGACGACAGTCGGGGGGCTCTCCCGGACGATGGACCGTCGGCTTGCCTAGTCTAGGTTAGGCGGCCTGGCTTGCTGGCGCGGTCGCGCAGTTGGCGGCGGTCCCGGTGGATTCCAGGTGCTTGTTAAGCGACCCTCCTTCGGTTGTGGTTGCGGCCGAATGTTGAGCAGCCATCGCGGCACCGCGGTGCAGATGACCCGAGGGGAGATATCCGCACTGCGACGGCGTGGGGGGCCCCGCACATGCTCGTGGCGAGGGCGGCTTCTACCGCGCGCGCGCGGACCGCACACACCGCGGCTTACGATGTATGCTCTTTTGCTCTCAATGATACATCCCTCTCGCTCTCTCTCTCTCTCTCTCACTCTCTCATTTGGTGATACTTGTGGGGCATCCAAGACGCCCCCGGGGGGCGGGGAGGGGGGGTCCACGGTGCCCCGCGCAGCCCCCTCCCTGGTGGACAGAGAGAGAGAGAGAGAGTCAAGACCCGGTTGTGAGATCTCGATTCCCCCAGTTCGGTAAGTGTCTGTCCACCCACGCTCACCATCCCCGAGAAGTTTGGTCCAAATTTCCCCCCTCTGTCTCCCTGCCTCCCCCCTCCCCCTTCCCCCTCCCTCGGCCTTCCCATTGATCTGCTTGCTCCTCTCCCTCCGAATGCGATGGGCACCCTGCCTCGGCCAGCCCTCCGTCGTTTCTTAGCTCCCTCTCAACCGTGCGCCGAGCAGGCCAGTGCCGGCGCCGGCGCGGCCCCGTGTGTGCCCGAGTCGCTTCCCCGGTCGCCGGCCGGATGTGAGCCTCTCCCGGGACCGGCTAGACTGGCGGATGTGCAAAAGCCCGCACCGCCCCCCCGCCCGCGAGCCATCTCCCCTGCCCCGCTGGTGTATGGCATCCTTTGCCTGGTGGTCATCCTCCTTTCGCGCTTTGGCTGGCTGGCCCCGCTGCAGACATTCGGCTGTGCGGCTGGCCGCCGGTGGCGCGAAGCCACGGCCCCCTTCCTGCCGAATAGGTACACCGCCTCGCCCCCCCCCCCCCCCTCTTCCCGGGGGCACACTCGCGCCTGTCCATCCGCCCTCGCGCCCGGGTTTCTCCTGGCCTCCGATCAACAGCTCACCCCCTGATCCGGCTCCCGGGCCCTCGCAGCCTCCTGGTCGCCTTGCATCGCCACACCAGCACATCAGTCTGGATTCAGCTCAGTTTTTTCCTCGGGTGCGTGTGCCCTTGTCCCCTCTCTCTCGCCCTCCATTCCTCGCCCCCCTGCTCCGCCTGGCGGCCGGACCACGTCGCCTGTCTCTCTCTCTCTCTCTCTCTCTCTCTGCTGGCAATGGGGTCCGCATCCAGCATGTCACAGCCATTGACCAACGCCCGCGCACCAGCCTCGGCTACTCGCACGAGCTTGGCCTATCACTCTACTGCTTCTCGGTCCTCGGCCATGTGGTGAAGAACTTTGCCAAATCCTTCGGTCGGTCGCCTCGATCCTTCTGGCTGTGTGGCTCGCCGCTGCTGGCCGGGGCTTCCGGCATCGGAGCCCTGCACTGCGGGAGCGGCTATTCCTTGCCCAGCGGCCACACCATGCTTTCGACCATGGTCACCAGCTATCTGGGGGAGTACATCGCTGCGCGGTATCCGGCTGCCGGGGCATCGGCCAGCCGGAAAACCCGGGTCTCGATGGCGGTCCCCCTGTGGCTGGACTTGCTGGCTGAGCGGCGCTGGTCCATGGCCTTTGCACACCTTGGGGCATGGTTGTTGCGTGGGGCTCGAATTGTGATCATCCTGAATACCCTGCACCTGGGCACGCACACCGTGTTGGACATTGCGGCTGGACTGTTGTTTGCGCGTTTCTGGACGTCTGCCTGGCCGTACATCCATCAAATACTGTTCCCGACCGCGAGCAAGCCCCGGGAAGGCGCGCCGCTGCCGGGGTCCAGGCGTTGGCTCCTCCCGATGCTGGCCCTCGGGGGGGTTTGTCTGCTGGAGGTGGTCGAGGAGCTGACCGAGAACCAGGTGAGTCATCCCCTTGAGCGGGTCTTGCTGCATGAGCGGAATTGCTCCCTGCTCCGGGGGACCGGGGCCACACGCATGGCCAATTCCTCGGCCTTCGAGAAATCGGCCCTGGTTCTCGGGGTGCTCCTGGCAGTGGCGGCTTCCCGCCCGGGGGGCGGCCTGGCACGGGGGCCATCGGCCGCCGATGTCCAACCGCAGGCTTCCCGACCCCGGCGCCTGCTGTCACTTGGGACAGTTCTTCTGGGTGCCCTCGGGGTGAAACTCATGCGGTTGGTGGAATGGGCGGTTTTTGCCGGCATGGCCGCCGTGATGCCCTTGGGCAGGTTGTGCATGCCGCCGATTGCACGGCTTCTGCTCTTGATCCTGTCAATGGGACCGCTGTTAGCTGGCGAGGGCAGTGGCCTGGCGGCCGTGGCCACACGCTCCACCGGTATCTGCCCCCGGCCGACCGTGATCAGCCTCGTTCCCACCCCCGCCATGTCCCAAGTACCACCCCCTGACTTTGGCGTTGGGATGTTGGCGGCGGGGGCGGCGGCGGGGGCGGCGGCGGCTGCGCCGGTGGTGGCGCCAGAGCCAGCCGTCGCCGTCGTCGCCGCCGCCACCACCACCACCACCTCGGGGAAAGGTCCCCCATCGATGGGTGTAGAGTTGGTGGAGGATGTCCCCTCCTCGGTTTCGATGTCACGCCCGCTGGCGGTTGTGACCGACCACCGAGCTCTATCTCTGTATGCCACTTTCGCCCTGAGGCCACTGCTGCTGGTCCTGCTTTTCCCGGCCCTCCAGCGCACGAGCATGCGCATTTTGCATTCAAGCTCCAAGACCCGACGCCGATTGGCCGGGCAATAGAGTGCACCCTCAGCGCGCGCGCGCGAGCTCTGGGGGGCAGCGGGAAGCTCCAGAAACTCCCGGAAATAGACAGATAAATAAATGAACAAGAAAACCCACTCTCGGAACGGCCCGGCCGCAAACCCAACACGCAAAGGAGGGATAAAAGTACATTTCTAGCGTGGGCGCACACACACACACAGCACGCATACCTACATTCAGTCAAGTGCACACACACCCACGCACACATGCGTGGGTGCATATATATATATATATGTGTGTGTGTGTATGGATGAATGCGCATGTGTGCATGTCTCGTGCGTGCGAATGTGTCTGTAAAAAAGCTGGAGGAAGGAGCAGAAGGCAGTGGGCCACAATGCGGCAGATGTCAAGGGCATGGCCACATGCACCGGATGCGCACTTACTTCCGGGCACGAGCCTTGGCGGCGGCGAGCTTGCGCTTGGCCCCCGGAGCCATGCGCGGCTGCCCCCGGCGCTCCTCGGCCTGGGCAACGGAGTCCAGGTGAGCCGCCTTGCGGGCGTTGACCAGCTCGGCGTTGACACCGCGCTTGCGGGCCACCTGCTTCAGGATCTTCAGGGCCTGGAGGCGCTCCTCGGCCTCGCGGCCGGTCACCTGGGACTTCTTCTTGGCCACACGATCGACCACCGGCTTGTCGCGCTTGAGGGCCTTGTCGAAGCGGCCCATGGAGGCGGTAGAAATCTGCGTGGTGGAGAGGGTCTCGCGCAGGCGATCCTTGAGCTGGGCACGCTGCTTGCGCGCCTGGGCCAGAGCCTGGGCATCGACCGCCACCTTGGCCGTCGAGGAGAGGGCACCCTTGACGCGGGCGGTGGCCTTGCCGGCGGCCTGCGGCATGATGCCCACCGGGGCACCCTGCGCGGTAATGGCCGCCGAGGCCTGGTTGCGCTTCTGGTTCTTCTTGTTCTTGCTGACGCGCTCCTTCTTGGCCGCCTCGCGTGCGGCAAACTGGTCCTGGTAGGGGTCTGTGGAATGGCGTTAGCAGGCATACATGCACACGCACACGCATGCAAAGAGGAGAGCTCGACCAGCAGTGACCACCGGGGGAAGGGGGAGAGGCACGCAAAGAACGAGACACAAAGGGCGGGAGGAGGGGGGGGGGGGGGGGGAAAAAAAAAGACGGAGGAGGGCAAGTCCACGCACCGGCATTCTTCGGGACCTCGATGAGCCAGTCCTTGGTGTCGTCGTTGGCGCGCTTGTAGCCAAAGCGCGGCAGGTACTCCTCCTTGGCCTCGTCGAAGACCATCTTGGACTTCTTGCGCTTCTGGATGCCCTTCTCCTTGGCGAACTTCTCCCAGCGAGTGAGAGCCGGCCCGGAGGGCAGGGTCTTCTCACGCGGCAGGCGGGTGGTGATGGCCGGAAGGCTGGCCACCAGGGCAAAGTCATTGCGCTCGGTCGGCAGCGAAAGGATGGCGTTCATCAGAAGCTGCGCATTGTCGCGAGCCAGGTTCTTGAGGAAGTCGGGCCTGTGGCCGGCGAGAGGAGGGGGAGAGAGAAGGGAGGGCGGATGGCAGAGGGTCAGAAAAGATCTCCGCTCAAGAAAAGCACGAAGAGGAGGAGGAGGCGGCGGCGGAGGCGGCGGCGGCGGCGGCGACGGGGAAGACCACGGCAGGCGACGCACTCGGCAGCGACGGTCTCGGCGGAGATGGCCGCAGGATCCGACAGGGTGAGGAGGCCGAGATCCATGTGGACCGGGACGTCCTTCTCAACAGAAATGGGCTTGAAGCGAGACTGGAGGGACTCCAGCTCGGCGGCCACGTCCAGGGTAGAGACGGACATGATTGTGTGTGTGTTTGCAGGGGGGGGGGGGGGGGATCGGCGAGGGAGGGGGGAGAGAGAAAGCAAGACAGGGGAAGGGCAGAGCGAGTGGGGAGATCAGGAGGTGAGATGCCGGATGGATCGGACTGGCAGCCCGACCTGGCGGTGAACCATCCCTTGAGCCAGGCCCCATCCAGCGGGCGGATGCCCACACATCGAGCGGAGAGGGCCGGTTGAGGGAGGGGGCAACAAATCCCCGCTGGCTGCAGGGCCTTGCGGGGATTATCCATGCTCCATTCGGCGGCCCCGCCCTCTCCGCCCCACCCGGAGCGGGGCTGTGCCATCCAGTCTCGGGAAGCATCTTTCCCCGCGGTGTGTTCTCGCGGTGGCGGAGGGGGTGGCGAAGGCAGGGCGCCGGCCCACACGACGCTGGGAAGCTCGCCGCAGGGACCGCATGTACACCGGGGGCCTGGCCGAAAAGCACCTCGTGAGAGGGTTCGTCGTGCGAAAGGCCTCACGGAGATGGTGGTTCACGTGGAGCCCATCAGGTGATGTCCTCTCCTTTTGAGGATTCCCCCCGCCCATTTAGAACGTGCTGCTTGGCTCGGCGGAGTGGCCCTTTCTTGCGTCTATGTCTGGGCGGAACCGAGCGGGGTGGCGGGGGCGCCGAGCAGGGCGGGCAAGGGAACATCCCTGGCGGGTGCAGAGGCCCCGGCCCCGTTGGGGCGACTCGCGCGTCCTTTTTCCAGCGTGCTCCCCCTCCTCCTGCTGTCTCTTCCGCTCTCCCTCTCTCTCTCTCTCCCTCGCTCTGTCGGCTCCCCCTTGCGGTTGGCTGGCGCGAGAAGGGGCGCCTCCAGTCGGGGTGAACTGCGAAGAGGTTACACATGAAGGTCCGTGAACCCGGGCCGGGGTGCCCATTGTTCCGTGGCTTGCGTCGGAGCCGGCGCGCCAGGCGGGGCTAGCGTGCTCGCAGTTTGTGTGTGCCGGGTTCCTGGTTTCCGGCCATGCGCGCGCGAGCCCGAGCTTGCTTCCCCACGCCGGGGTCGTGTGGGCTGTTCTTCCTGCGCTTCCGCGCTTCCCGGCCCACGCCCTGCCCGCCC